ACCTGTAGGTTCGGAGAATATTGCATCTGAGGTATGGTTAAGACTTTATGGATTTCCTCAAGGCAAATTAGGCTGTATTTAATTTTTCCGGAGGTCTCTGGTCAGTGGTCAGGCTAGCAAAACATAGTCGGCCTCAGAGTAGACCCTCCAGTAGGAAAACTGATGAAAAATTCATCCTTGACGTCCACCTACATGCTCAAAGTCTTGCCAGATTACTGCAAACTGAGGGAATAATCACCCATATGTTGGACTTGTTTTATGCTCATTCTCTGAGACATGATGGGTGGATGAAACGTGACTAAATTAGATTTTTAAACACACCTTGAACAACAGGGATTGTGAAAGGCTTTAGCCTCTTCTGACTTGTTCATATATGCCTCATGGTCATATCTACGCAATTACTTCACTCCACATTATGAGTTTCTGCATGTAGTCCAGCTAAGAGACTTGGAAAAAGAACTAGAGTCCATGTTGTCTGGGTGTGTTTGTCAGATCCATTGGATGATACTTTAAGACCTCGGGATTTGTTCTGCGGTGTGTTACTTCACTTTCATCGTTATTCAGATTCAGTCTGCAAGTGATTGTCTTATTCAACTCTTTTGTTGTGTTTTAGAGGGCACCATTGTGCCAGTGACAATGTTCTCTCACGGTCTGTTTGCCCTTGCTTCCGTTTCGTAGCAACTTCACTTCTTGTATTGTGTACAGAAGTGTTTATATTCTCGAATTTTCTCTCTGATTGCCCTCCATTGTTCAACTCCACTGTGCAGGCTATAATTACTCTCTATCTCCTACTTTCTTTGGAAGACTCCTTCAGCCCCGAGGTGGAGGAAGAGGAGGTGGAAATGGGGTCAGGGGGCCCAGAGGCTTTGGGTTCCTTAGTGTGAGGATTTGGGTTCTGGAGCCATATAATTACCCCTCTCTCACAACTCCCTCAAAAGCGAAGACTGATCTTTATGTGTGGTGGTCTAAGTGGATGACTCAGAGGAGGGAGTTAGCAGAATATAGTCTCCTGCTAATTCTACTATTCCCCCACTAACAACATCTACATGCATTTGAAGTGAACTAGGCCTATATTCTTTTCCCCTAAATCTGCCTTGGATGGTTTCTCTAACTGATGTTGTCAAGCTGTAAATCGTATTGGTACTTCACAAGGCATTTCCTCTGTTTCGACCCTGTCACGGTAGCAAATGCAAGCGGTAACAGGGTCAAACCGAGGGGTACAAGGACACAGGTGTTCCCCAAGGTAGCTGTGCAGAGGTTGTCAGCCGTCTTTCTGTCAAACTTGATTAGTCAATCAATCTGTTGTTTCACAGTGACTACTGATGGGTCTATACACTCTGGTCAAACATATCTCATCCGTACACGCCTGGGTAAATGAGAAATGAAGGGTTTGGTGAGCATCGGTTACCAAACTGACACATCACCAGCTGGTTCCCTCCTTTATAAGTGATGTTTACTAAGGATAGCATCACAATTGATTCTCATACTTAGGGGGGCTCTTATGACTTGGACAAGGAAGTAAGCATTAATAACACAACTTTTGCATGAGCAAGAAAGTGTAAATGTGTAGTTTAATCCATTTGCAGGTGCTTAACACAGCTGAATTCATGGGGAAAAATGTAACTTTCATGTTCTTGCAAAACAAACCTGAAACTACTAGTGTAACACTACATGGTAAAGAGGAAACTTCCTAGCAATAAGAGTTTATTTTTATTCAAGGTCGGTACCATTCGTTCTATGAAATCTTGAGTGTCTTGCTTTCAAATTTGTGCAGTGGCGACCTTGAACTTTTTTTTTCCCAACTTGCAAACAAACATACACACACAAAATACATATTTCTGTGTTCATTGTATGAACAGTGCATATTCTGCCTGCTTCTCTCTATTTCTCTGTAAATGCGTGGCTAGTTTCAGCCCCGCTGGTCATGAAATCCATTTTAGTCTTAGACAGTCTGTGTCTTCTCAAGTTTAACTTTTCCCAGATTATCTTTCAAGTGCCTAAAAGTCTTGAACTAAGCATTTAAACACTTGTCCATACTTGTTGAACTCTTATGACTGATGTTACCCACAGGCCTGTGCTCAAACCAGTTTTTCAGCTTGTAACACTCCAAAGAGAAAGGAAAAAATTAAATTGCATCATATGACCCCTTTAAAATGGCTTACGAACACCCTTATCAGTATGAAGCTGATCCCTGATCAGTAATTTACTTTAAATTGTTCAAAATTGCCCATTATTGTCTCATTTTCAAAAGGCGCCATTAAAAAAAAGGTGATTTTTAAAATGCATACAATTGTGTGATTTTACATTATATGAAACTTTCTATCAAACAAATAATGTGTGAAAAAATCTCAATCCAAATTAGAAATTGTAATACTAATTTTAATGTAATAATATATTTATGCATTCAGAAAGTTAACAGTTCACAATTTATCAGTTCAATCTGACAGATACTCAAAGTCATGAAACCAAAACGTTCTTTTTAGAAAGAAAACGTATTACTGATATTTCTACAAACATCCATTTTTAATCATCTGTTGTTTACTATACAAACACATGGTAGTAGTGTTGACATTTTAAGATGACGAATGAACGAAATATAAGAGGAACTAAAGAACTAAAGTTTAAGTTGTGCATGAAAGTTCACTTCTTAAAAGAACGATGATGCCATTATTGTAGCAAATTTTATACATATTTATATGAGGGAACTAAATAGCACTCATTTGGTCAAATGACCCACAGTTTCCCTCTGTTTTGTTTTCCCCTGCAGTATTTCCAACTTTTATGAGTGGCGTGATTAAGCGCGGTAGTTCAGAGTTACTTCCTCTTTGCTAAGGTCTCTCTGTAGGAGGTAATTACCTCTTTTGCCAGTCATAAATAAGCGAGAGAGAGGGAGAGGGGGAAAGAGGGAGGTGAAGGTATGTGGTTTAGTATATGTTTGTGCAGGAAGCAAGGCCAACAGGACAGCACAGCACCTGACGGCGAGGAGAAATATATCTACTCGGGGTCTCCTACGACAGGTTTGTTAAAGACAACAGAACTCATGGACCCTCCAGGGACACGTTTGCCTCAGAGTTATTCACGGGTCAGGAAAGCTTCTGTTATGAATGGCCTCTGTAGAGCTAAACAGGAACTGAAAGTGTTCATGGATGCATAGCCCTTCTGAGGAAGCATAAGCAGGGTAGAAATATAAGAAGAGCTGATTGTCTGGTCAGGTGTTAAGGAAGTGAAGACAAAGAAAATATGATTGAAAAGCTGGGGGTGAGGTAAAGGGGGCAGTTAAAACAAAAGTATGAGTAATAGCACGTGCAAGAAAGCGAGACTTTAGAGAAAAGAAAGGGGCGAGAAGGAGGGGTTCGAGTGTTGACACATCATTCTCAGCTGGAGGGGGTAAAAGAAGGTCACCAGGGAGACAAAAGGCCAAGGGCCTGCCAAAACAAGACGCATTTGACTGTGGGGCATGCCGTATTTCAGGGTTATCTTGAGACAAAACAACTATTGTTTTAACTGGAGGCAATGGAAGCATCTTCTGCATGACAGATACCTTCGAACTCCTGAAAGCCATTGCGGGGAATAAAATATAAAACCCATTCATTTACTACTAATTGCCTGCCTGGTTTATTGTAGCTTAATTCAAGTGCCATCATTGTGTGCGCACTTAGACTGGATCCCACATTGTTTCCATTAATAGGTGCTTGAGGCTGTCACCGAGATGTTTACCAATGAGAAATAATTAGGATGGAGTGGTGTGGGAGGGTTGGCAGTCAGGATCAGAGTCAGGGGGGGATCTACCATCATTACACATGCAGGGAAAGTCTACATCCGGCACTCTTCAAGACCTAATGCTGCCTGTAAACACCACTGCCATACTTGTAATTAGTCCTGTTTGGTGTTTGAAGTACTCTTGTTGAATTGGCATGCTAGCTGTTTTGACGCACTCGATTGTAACGTGAAAGCCTGAGTTGAGTCAATGAGTTGCTGTAACTTCAGTTAGGGTTGTCAGTTTTCATGATGCATATTCAAATTAAATACCAAAAACACATATGGACAGATAGCATATGCGTATATATAATCTAAATAAATTTTTGGTTACATTTTATTTTAATTTAATATTAAATTTTATTTTAAGTTAATATTGTTAAAGTGTAATTACACAGTACTATGCAATATTAATTAACTACTAAGGGTTAGGTTTAGGGTTAGTTATGTTTAACACTGGGTAGCTCACCTTAAAATAAAATTGGTATTAAAAGGATAATTCACCCAAAAATGAAAATTCTAATTTTTCAGTCTCATGTTGTTCCAAACCCATAAGACCTTCGTTCATATTCGGAACACAACATAAACAGACTTGTGTGGCTTTCTGAACCCACATAAACAGCAATGCGACTGAAACATTCCCAGGCCCAGAAACGTACTAAGGACATTGTTAAAATATTCTGCAAAGATAACAAAAATATATTTATAATATATTTTTTCAACAATTCTTCTCTTCCGAGTCACCATTCGCCCCCATTCACGAGAGTACCACGACGCAAGTGCGTGATGCTGCTGACATAGAACACGTACTCTTGTGAATGGTGGCGGACGGTGATTCGGAAGAGAAGAATTGTTGAATAAAGTCGTTATTTTTGTTTTCTTTAGGACACAAAAAAGTATTCTCATAGCTTCATAACATTACAGTTGAACCATTGATGTCACATGGACTATATTAACAATGTGCTTGCTTCGTTTCTGGGCCTTTAACGTGTCAGTTGTGTTGCTGTCTATGTAGAGAATGCTCTTGGATTTCATCAAAAATATCTTAATTTGTTTTCCGAAGATGCACAAAGGTGTTATGAGTTTGAGACTACATGAATTTTTAATTTTCGGTGAACTATCTTTTTAATATTGGTCAATTTTGATAAATTACCAAAGTATTGATACATTTTGTTCATTAACAATCATTCTCAGCACAGATTGGTTGACTTGTTTGTAATGTGTCTCTTCTTGTCTTTCTGCAGCAGGGAACGGGCAGTCGGTGCAGACGGACCCCAGTAAGTCTGGATTTGTGGGTGATACAGTCGAGCTGCGATGTGTATTCATCAACGGTAAGCCACCAGTGAAGATCTCTCAGGTCACCTGGCAGAAGCTGATAAATGGCACCAAACAAAATGTCGCCACCGCAAACCCAGCCTTGGGCGTATCAGTGCTGCCCCCTTTCAAAGACCGTGTGAGCTTCAAGCACCCCGCTGTGCGCCAGAGGACCCCTTCTTCTCTTGAGGATACCACCATTGTGTTCAGCAACCTACGGCTCTCTGATGAGGCTGCCTACATCTGCGAGTACACCACCTTCCCAGCAGGCAACAGGGAAAATATGGTCAACCTCACTGTCTTTGGTAAGACCACCACGCTACATATGTAGTGCTATTCTCCTGAGAAAAGTGCACATTCACAATGAATTCACATGAAATGTGAGTTTTCACTATAATTGTTTTGTGAATGATTTATATGAAAATTCGCATTCAGTGCCAAAATACTGATTTGCACGCGTAGCAGCAGGTTCTCTGCACACATATAACACCATGTATGGACAGAATAGAAGTAGGTGTCATTTTCTCAAATATTCTCCACACTCTTAGCACTGACATGGTGAGATATTTTTTTATTAAAGTTGTCGTCATGGTTAGCAGGTAGTAAGGTGTATATAGATGTTGTTTCAGCAATATGTTATTCATAACCCTGTAAGCCCTTCAGAAAAATCATCTTTGTCCTTGACCGCTCCGGGTCTGTAATGTGCGTGGTTAAAACCTTCACCAAGCTTGAAATGTATTGATCAGTGTTCACCACAACAGTAAGAGCTGCATCTCAGCCTCGACCTGCAGGTATAATGTATGCATGCATACATGTTCTTGTCAAAAGCTACACACACAGGTGAAGATAAGCTATCATTTTATCAAAGGAAACCAACCTTGTATTATTTTCCTATTTCCTTGACACACAAAATCAGAGGTTAAGCAGAATGTCCGAGCTGCTCTTTGACAAAACAAAAGTGGATGGGGTTTTATACCGGATAGCTCCAAAAAGACCATTAACACTGTAAAAGTAGTTCATATGACTCCAGAACTTCTGAAGCTATACAGTAGATCAGGGCTTTCCAAAATGGGGTTTGTGTGTTGATGAAAATCCTACAATTCATGGAATCAGAAAATTGTAAATTTAAAATTTCAATTTAAAAGAAATAAATACACAAATAAATAACATTTGCTATTAAATATGAAATTATCTATTTGTATTCCTGCATATAATTTAACTAATAAGCAAGTAAGCATACAAATGTATTGTTAAATAATAAAATTTTGACATACTTCAAATAAATATTTTAGGTAAAATCTGTATTTTTTATTTCATTGTTTTTTTTTATTTTTATTTTGAATCAGTTTTATTTTATATTTTCATAAAAATTTTAGCTATAGTTTTAGCAATTTTGTCATTTATTTATTGTATTTTATTTTATTACAGCTTTAGTTATTTTAGTACATCAAGTTAAACGAAATTAAAATTAGAACTGTTACAGCCTCAGTTTTATTTAACTATAATAATCCAGTTACAGATAAGTTTGGCTGACAAAAAAGTTTGGATTATAGGTTAAAATAGGTTAAAATCGATCTGTATGACATGAATTCAGAAGACATGGAATAAAGTGCACGATGGGCTACTTTTATATTGCCTTTTTGAGCTTGGCTGTTTAAATCATGACCCACTTTCATTGTATAAAAAAAAAAAAAAAAAAAGATTCTCGGACATTCTGCCTAAAATGAAAAATAAATATGGCGTGTACAAAGTGAGGGTGCGTACGTCTTAAAAGTCTCTGTTGTTGGGACTTTAATACATGTCCTAAACAGACATCAATAAAAGCTTTCCTTCCTCACACACAATTTTTTTCAAGAGCAGAGCTCTGATTTGTCTCTTAGGAAGCTGCACAGGTTAGGAAAGGCACCATGATGTATGTGCGTGTATGTGTGTGTGTGTGGGTGTGTGTGTGTGTGTGTGTGTGTATGTGCGTGCATGTTTTTGTGACATATGAGGACACAAATGGGTATAATGACATGGGTATGACATAGGAATTACAAGGAGAAGGTGACTTGAGGACATTGCCCCATGTCCCCATTTTTCAAAACGCTTATAAATCATACAGAGTGAGTTTTTTTGAGAAAGTAAAAATGCACAAAGTTTCCTGTAAGGGGTAGGGTTAGGTGTAGGCAATAGCACATACAGTTTGTACAGTATAAAAGCCATTAAGCCTATGGAATGTCCCCACAATTCACAAAAACAAACCTGTGTGTGTGTGTGTGTGTGTGTGTGTTGGAGTGCAAGAGAAGAGTA